ATGACTACTGTGCAGGTCAGTTGAACAATTGTATGGAGACGGGGAGCCAGGACAGGGCAGGGAAGGCAGGCGGGCAAGGATATGGGAGTTTGGGGCGGCGGAGTGGCGGAGGAGAGGAGGCAGAGGAGAGGAGGAGGCTCATGAGGAGCGTGGAGGTGGTTGTTGTTGTGGTGGTGCACCGTGGTGTAAGTCGGGCGACAAGTCATGCACATTGTGCGAATGTCCAGTATGCGGATGGGCCGGCATAGAGCTTGCCTCGGAAGAGGGGAGGGGGGAAGAGAGCGAGGAGGAGGGCGAGGAGGAGGAGGAGGAGGGGTGAAGCGGGTGTGTGGTGTGTGCCGTTTTTTATTTTATTTTATTATTTAGTTAGTTTATTTTCTAGACTTGATCATTATTTTAGCGTACATGGGAAAGCAAGAAAAAAAAGACGATTTAAAATAGCGTGGCGGGGGAGGGAGGTGTGCTTGTTCGAAATTCTTGATGTGATTGTAAGCAGACAAAGGCACAGAAAGAGTGCGCGACAGACGGAGCTAAAAAGAGGAGAAGAGGAGAAAACCGGGGACGGGGGGGGGGCGTCGCCTGGGGCTGGGCGGACCAGGGGACTTGCTCGCCTGGAGAGACAGGTTGACAAGCTTGCTGCAGGGGGAAAAGAAGAAGAAAGTGGCCCAGGAGCCAGGAGAGGGGGGGGGGTACCCCTGTAATGGTTACTGGTGCATGGAAGTGAAGTGGCAGTTGCAAGTTGAAGTTGCTGATAACTCTACAGTACCTGAGTAAACTAGCACAGGCAGGCAGGCAGGCTACTTGTAAACTGTTAGCCGGAAGACGTTGAGCTGCCAACTGTTCGTTAGCTGTTTGTTAGCCGGGACAAGAAACGTTGGAAAAAAAAAAGAAACGTCCGCTAGTTGGGTCAAAGTGCACCCGTCGCTAGAAACTAGAAGCGATGTACCGAGCCGTCAGGAAACTTGTCGATTCATGCATTTGGCTACTGGTATACGCAACCAGGGCACGCAAGTAGTGCACGTAGGCCCTGCCAGGACAGGCAGAGAGGGAAATCGTCACGGACTTGACCGGTAGCTGTGGCTGGTCTAGTTACTGACTTACTGACTGACAGCCTACTAGTAGTACATACCTACAGCCAAATAACCTCTCGGCACAGCACAGCCTGCTGGTTCACAGCCTGCTGGTTCAACTGGTCCTTGTCCACCACCGTCGCCCGCCTCATCATCATCATCCGCCTTCCACTGTAGTACACATGCTGCACTGCATCCAGTGCCTGTAGCACACTGCACCTTGCACACTGCTTGTCCTCCTCGACCTGCATTCGCCATCACCCGCTCCGACAAACTGCTTCGCTCAGCCCTTTTTTTCCTCGGCAAACACTATCGTTATCAACCACCTGATTCATTGCCCATCTCCGATCGTTATCTACTCCATCGTCTTTCATGCAATTAAAAAATTAAAAAAAGTATAACCCACCAAAAACCCAACCCGCTCTTCCATCACAAGCTTTTTTTTTTTCAAATTGAATTCGCCACCAATAACGTATTGTTTAACCTTTCCGATCAACGCCGGGAGGCGCAGAGAATCCATTCGCAAAGAATGTTGCATTGTTTCCCTCCCCAAGCACACACACTCTTTTTTCTTTTATCTGCGGCTTTCGCGGGGGGAGGGGAGGGAACAGGGAACTCGAGTCATCACCAGCCAACAACGCTGCGTTGAAACCACCCTCTTCCGATAACCCTGCACGTTGCATTGATGGTATTCCATCGTTCCTTCAATTCGAATAAATCTACCAACTACTGGGTACAACCAATCTTCTTTCGATTAGATCGTCCGTCTCGCCCCTTCTGGGATCGGACTTTTTTTTTTCTTGGGCATGGGCCCTTTTTCAGACTGAACCTGCGACACCAAGCGATCCAAACTGATCCAGACTGATGCCGTCATCTGCCCACACAGCTTCACCTTGTTCATCGTTTCTCGTGCCAAGCAAACCCCCGTCCCAATCTGCTTCGCCAATCCGTTCCCACGGCCGGCCATCGCATTCTCGTTTGCCATTACAGCCGGGCCCCATCGACATCGGTTGATGCTGCTACACTGATACCATCATCGCCCGCCCCCCTCTACTACAACCTACACACTGTTCCCTCCAGAATGGAGTCGTTTGGAAATCGGTCGGCATGTCCCGTTGTCATTTATTTTTTTTCTTTGCTTCGTAGCCGTCCTTGCCGGATGCATATCTCGTACGGTCAAGCTACCAACTAGCTTCGTCGTCCATGTGTTGGCCCATTCCCGTCAAAAAACGTGTTTTCTGTCTTGTCTCAGCGACGGTGTTGCCGCACCGACTCCACGAAAACCACGTTGTGGCTTTTTTGTTCGGCGTCGAGCGGCCCCAAAAAAAGGGTCTCGCAGGCCTTCATCTGTCACTTTTGCTTTTTGGTAACTAGTTATTGTCACTTTCGCATGTGCTTATCGTAGAAACTATGCCAAAGTTCCCCGTCAGATATCTGCCCTCCTCGGCCCTCGTGCCCTTTGGTCTCGGCCGGGCCAACAACGCGTTATCTCATCGCTCCTCGGTTGCCGCGCGCGCGCGTGCGCGGCATCCGCACCAACAGACGGGAAACCTTGACAGCTGGCTTACTAGTTAGGGTTGAAGCCAAAATCGTCACCAAAAGAGATGCCGTGGGGCACGCTTCCCGTTTTAGGGCCGCCTTCTTTTGCTTCCTTTCCCAAGTTGGCTTCGACAGGAAACTCTCTCTCCCGCCCCAAGCTCCTATTCTAGCCAGTCGTGTCTTTGCTTGCCCCGACCCAGTGCCGCCCGGCGTCGTTCAACTTGGCCCCTCCCGGCCGAAGAAATATAGAGGGCAGAACGTTATTGCGACGTGCGTGGCGTTTCGCGAGTCGGCAGCCTTCTGCCTAACCCGAATAGCTTCACTCGAGTGATGATCTGGGACCGGTAAGATGGCAGCGTTTGCGAGTGCCGCTCTCCCCTTCCCCCTCCCCAGATATGTAGCATCGGCATGATGAAAGAAGAAAAAAAAAACCGTTTTGCTTTTCCCAGCCCAGCACATGTGACACAAAGCCGATGCATGTGTGTATGCGACTAGTTAGCGGGATCATGGCATCGGTAGTATCGGGTCGATAAACCTTGCTATCTACTCCGTAGAGCAACACTTTTTTTTTTTTTTCTTGGTCTGTCGTCACTTTGTTGCAAGGTGCCCAAACGAGGAAAATGAGATGCATCAGGCTTTACCGTGTGTCGAGCCAAAAGCGTACACGCCCGAGTCAGAGCAAGCAATAGTTGACCAGGATGTGGCTGTTTCCTGGTACGATAATGACATCGTCTTTTTTTTTTTGGCTTCTAACGTCGAACACGGGGTGACCGCACGCAAACCCCTGCCAACCGCACAGCTAAAAGGGGATCCACGTATACACTGTGTTTTGATTTGTTAGAAATTTTTAGCTAATTTTGCTAGCAGGGCTAACACGCCCTTAAGACTAAGGAGCTAGTCAGAGGACATCGGCAACTCGAAATTACTAGAGGACGCCTGGAATAATGATCTTCCGGCAATAGTGTGAGCATATCGAGGCTAGCCTTTCTTAGAAGGGATAGGCGCCTTAGCGTGTGCGGTTGTCAGGGGTTTGCGTGCGGTCACCCCGTGGTCGACGTTATTACAACTTTGATCTCAAGGATCCCTTCTTCGGTCCTTGCGGCGCTTGCTC